TTGCTTGGCGGGCCCGGGCTGGATTTGAACCTGCCACCTTAGTTGTATGTGGCTGGCGCCTTAGCCACTTGAGCCACAGGCGCCAAGCCCCCACTGTTCATATTTATAAGGTTTCTGTCCAGAATAAGTTCATAAATGTCTAGAAAGGTTCACAAACAAACTAAAGGCTCTGCCACATTTTTGACCTTTGTAGAGTTTCTCTCCACAACAAATATGTACTACTAATGACCTATGTTAAAAAGCTTTAAGGTATTTTTTAAATTTGTATGGTTTATGTCCAAAGTAAATTCTTTGATGTTCAGAAAGGCATGAGTACCAGTTAAAGGCTTTGCCACATTCTTGACATTTGCACAGTTTCTGGCCATAGTGAATTCTTTGCTGTTCAGAAAGATGTGAAGGCTTTGCCACATTCTTCACATTTGCCACATTTGTCACATGTGCCACATGTGCCACATTTGCCACATTTGCTGAGTAAAGGCTTTGCCACATTCTTCACATTTGTAGGATTTTTCTCCAGAGTGAATTGTTTTATGTACAGAAAGGCTTGAGTACTGGTTAAGAGTTCTGCCAGTGGTGGCTTATGGCACCAGCCCCCTATGCTGGAGGTGGTTTATTTAAACCAAGTCCCTGTGGAAAAAAAATGCAAAAATAAATAAATAAAATAAAACATAAATATAAAAGTTCTGCCAGATTCTTGACCTTTGTAGGGTTTCTCTCCAGGGTAAATTCCATGACGTACAGAAAGGCTTGAGTAATGGCTAAAGGCTTTGCCACATTCTTGACATTTGTAGGGTTGCTCCCCACAGCAAATTCTTTTATGTACAGAAAGGCTTGAGTACTAGTTAAAGGTTTTGCCATATTCTTCTTCTTCTTTTTTTTTTTTTGGTAGAAATATATTCTCATTTTTGTCACCCTCAATACAGTGCTATGGCATCACACGGCTCACAGCAACCTCCAACTCCTGGGCTTAGGATTCTCTTGCCTCAGCCTCCCAAATAGCTAGGACTACAGGCACCCTCCACAATGTCCTGCTAAGTATTGCCATATTCTTGACATTTGTAGGGTTTCTCTCCAGAGTGAATTCTTCAATGTTCAGAAAGGTGTGAGTGCTGGTTAAAGGCTTTGCCACATTCTACACATTCCTAGGGTTTCTCTCTAGAGCGGAGGTTCTCAAAGTGTGGGTCAGGACTCACAGGAATAGTTTAAAGGGCTGAGGCATTGGGAAGGTTGAGAACCACTGCTCCAGAGTGAGTTCTTTTATGTCTAGTAAGGGATGAACTAATATGAAAGGCTTTGCCACATTCTTGACATTTGTAAGGTTTCTCTCCAGAGTGAATTCTTTGATGTACAGAAAGGTGTATGTGTTGGTTAAAGGCTTTGCCACATTCTTGGCATTTGTAGGGTTTCTCTCCAGAGTGAATTCTTTTATGTCTAGTAAGGTGTGAACAATCAATAAAGGTTCTGCCACACTCTTGACACTTGTAGGGTTTCTCTCCAGAGTGAAGTCTTTGATGTATAGAAAGGTATGAGTGCTGGTTAAAACCTTTTCCACATTCTTGACATTTGTAGGGTTTCTCTCCAGAGTGAATTCTTTTATGTTTAGTAAGAGATGACCTGACATTAAAGGCTTTGCCACACTCTTGACATTTGTACGGTTTCTCTCCAGAGTGAATTCTTTGATGTCTAGTAAGGGATGAACTATTATTAAAGGCTTTGCCACATTCTTGACATTTGTAGTGTTTCTCTCCAGAGTGCATTTTTTGATGTATAGAAAGAGATGAACTGACATTGAAGGCTTTGCCACACTCTTGACATATGTAGGGTTTCTCACCAGAGTGAATTCTTTGATGTACAGAAAGGTGTGTGTGCCGGTTAAAGGCTTTGCCACATTCTTCGCATTTGTAGGGTTTCTCTCCACAGTGAATTCTTTGATGTACAGAAAGGTTTGAGCACTGGTTAAAGGTTTTGCCACACTCTTGACATTTGTATATTTTCTCTCCAGAGTGAATTCTTCGATGTCTCGTAAGGGATGAACTATCATTAAAGGCTTTGCTACATTCTTGACATGTGTAGGGTTTCTCTCCAGAGTGAATTCTTTGATGTACAGAAAGGCTTGAGC